AAAACATCCAGAACCGGTCCTGAACAAGGGGTTGGAGGGGTAAGCACCGAATGGAGGGAAACTCGCGGCACGGAAAAAAATCCATAGGGTCCCCGAGGTTTCTCTCTCTGTTCATCTCTCGTTCCGTTTCTCTCGTCCTTTCGGATTTAGAGTTCAAGCGAAAAAAAGAGAAGGAGCCTCGTTCGAACTGGTAGTGTGAAAGTCGGTCGAGGGGCAGAGGAGGGTTTAAAGCGCACGACGAAAGAAAATTCTGCAAGGGTGGTACTGATGGCGGTGGCGGTCGCGCTAAAGGCAAAACAACGGCCGAACGACATCCTTGGCTGCCTTCGAAAACATGGCCGCGGTCTACCGAGTGCCCGAAAGACGAGAATTGCATGCATTTCTAATTTAAACCGAATAAATATGCTATGATGAAATCAGAATAAAATTANNTTCCAACTTTGCGCATGCACACCGAATACCAGAAAGTTTTCTTTGGGTTACTGCTGATTACCATAAGAGTATAAGTATAATAAATTATTATTCGCGACGTGAGTCTATTAATCGCGAGAAAAATTGATTAAACGTACTCGTTGATAGAAAGGAAGTTAAATTTAGGGAATATAGAAAGTCTTTATCAGAGGCCAAACTCGAGATGTTTATATAATGTATTTTATTAACTTTCGGGTTCTCTACAGTTTCATCTTGAAGTAACAATGTCTATAAATAGATAATATAGCGCAATCATCTTAAAATATTAATCATAAATGTTATACTTAAATATAAATACATTGAAAAACAAAAATTCTTTCTACGCACGGTAACACGTATCCTATTTCTTGAATACGCGTGCGAACTTATAAACGTAAAACATATATTATGACATTATTAAAAAGAGAAAAAAGAAAGACCTTCTATTGGAAATAAAATACATTTACATAAAAACACACATATGGAATAAGAATTTCGACTTTCGTTTCCATTCGTCGACAGACAAATGCAAATATTCGTGTATACATATAAAAGGAAATTGTACCTTCAGTCACACGTAGGTATTCCTTAAATCGTAGATTTAATTCCTTTCTTCTCTATATTTTCTGACAGTTTCCACGAGACGTTCGCGTTCTCTATTATCATACATGAAATTTTATTCACGGAATCTGTGCGCATTCACGCCCGTTCATCTTACAACAAACCTCGATTGTTAACGCGTTTTGTAAAAAAATTCCCTTAACTATGCCAGTAACATTTCGTTTAGTTAAATCTTTCACTCCCCCGCAGCTAATAAAAAGATGAAACATCGATTGATCGTTCCCCGAGTGAATTATTGGAAGATTGTTTATATGGAAGCTGAAGAAGATTAGAAGATGTTCGTTTTATTTGAATAATTAGTAAGAGAATTGATTTTGGTATACTCAATTTCAGTTGTCGAAGCACAAATAGATCGATTTATTATTAAGAGGTAGATGAGGGAAGACTGAACGATCAATCGAGGCAAAGGCAATTAAACGTCCTTACAACAAACAATTTACAAAAGTACAAGAAACGCTTCGCAGGAAAATAGTTTGTCGTCAGTCTGTCTCGCAAAATCGTATCAAAAGGTATACATCGTACGCGTTTGCATAGAATCGTTTTGAGTTGCTCGCCACTAGCTCACTTCTCACGTGGCTTCTCACGTGGTCACGTCTGACTCCAAAGTATAAAGAGTGTAGAGTGTTAAATATTAAAAGTAACTCAAACTTGCCCATTTCTTTACCGTTTCAAGAAAGGGTTAATTTTTTGGGGGATATAATTTAACATACAAATACAGAGATTCTTAAACTAAATCGTAGTTCTTCGCTTGGTACCGTTTCCAAAAACTTTGAAAACGCTGCCAACCCAGGTCTCACCGCGTGCAGGTGACTACATTCGAGACCCGGACAGTGGACAATCCCCATTTCCTTCTAACTTCGATATTTAACGAGTTACATATGATTATTTGGCATTTTATTGATGTTGACAAAATCCGACCATCCCAGCGTCGAAACGGCGAGCTTTTGGCAAAAAATTTCGTTCTTCCTCAATAACTCCTAAACCCTTGGAGATACGGGAAAATTGCATCAGACCTTTTTTGTAGAGGACGACGAGATCTACAATTTCCATATAAAAACTTTTCGCTAGCATTAATAGTTTACGAGTTATTGACGAAAAACGAAAAAACAGTTTTTTGCAAATTACTCGTTAACTATTGACG